AAAAAAAAAAAAAAGGATAAATTACAATGATATGATTTTCACCTACTCCAACTAAAGCAAAATATAGTTTCATTTTGCCAAGTATCTAGTTAAAATTCAAGTTTTCAACATAAACATTCAACTTAAATTATTTAACCACGGGTAAAAGAGTTCATAATATTGTATTTAAATGCACATACTTTTTCTTCTTCACTTCGAAAGTGGAATTTTGGTCTTAACAGAACATACATACATGTGCTAAACTTTACAACACTCCCGCAGATACCACCTTCCACAAACAGGTTAATTATTGTGTACTCATCTTAAAATAATAAAGGATTTTTATTTTATCTTTAAATTAATTATTTGAGAATAATTTATATTTTTACTTATATTACTCTCAAAATATAAATGGATATAAAGAGATTTTTTTGTGATATATAAATAATTAAAATTAAGAAATAATGATAAAAATATATATTTAAATCTTTGAAATATAAAAAACAATTATTAATTTAAAACAATGTTGAATAAAAAAATATTTATTATTTTGGAGGGAAAGAGTAACACGAAACACAATTTGGGATAAAAAGAAATTTAAATTTGAGTCGTTTTCAATAAATTAAGTCTTAAATTGAGCTCCTATCCACCTTCTTGACAAACAACATTGTCACATTAATTTATCGATCCATTAGTTCTCTTCTTGAATGCCCTAGTCACCAGCAAATTAAGGTCCCCCAACCCCCAAATTGTGGGTTAGTGGCCCCTCTCCACCACGTGAACTCGATGGTGCCATGGCACGATACATGCAACCGGGCCCATCAGCACTGGTCCTCATGATTCTTCCCACACCATCATGGTCCCAACATCACACATGGTCTGCCACAACACCGGCTTATGCTTCCCCCAAATCACAACCGTCCATTTTCGTCCATTCAAGTCTCATATACACTAAACATGATATAAAACGCCATGAAGAGAGCAAGAATACACGCGTCCGCAACAGGGTTTGGTTTTTGATCATGGAGAAGAGCAGGTCGTTCCCGGAGTACTCCTCATCTTTCTCCGGTGAGTTCGAGTTCGATGATCGGCCCAATTCTTATAACTTCAATGGTCCCTGCAGCAAAGGAAACGGGTTTGCAGCATCCAATGATCCAGAGCTGAAGAGGAAGAAGAGAATTGCATCATATAACGTATTCACTAAGGAAGGTAAGCTAAAATCGAGTGTGAGGAACAGCTTCAAGTGGATCAAGAGCAAGTTTGCTGATCTACGATATTGAATCTAAGTTGAAAAAATATTCTGAGGTGCCCTATATTCTCCGTATTGTTTAAGTCTGGTTTGAAGGTTTTGTGTGGAAATTTAACAGGGAGGAATTTCCCTTGTGAAAATCTGTGACATTTGGGTGTAAAGTTGTTATGGTGAAAAAAAAATAAAAAAAAAGAGCTAATTTTCTTTGTTTTTAGTTTTAGTGATAATTATATCATCATTTCTTACTAAGTTTCATTCGGTATTCACTGAGTCTGGTATCTAACATTAGTGGATTCAGTAGGTCTACTGACTTAGCTAACAACTTAAAAGTGATTCGGTGAAAAAAAAAAATTTAATAAAAGTAAAATATTTTAAATTTAAATTCTACAAAATTAGAGGTGAAGTGGATAAAATAATGAGAAAATATTATATTTTTATTATGTGGCTCAAATAAAAGGGAGAATGGTGAACACAGTTAAAATTAAATATCACAACGTTAATAATTAAATATCACGCTATTCGCATAATATTAAGTAAAATAAAAGAATTAAACATAATTTTTACTATATAAAACTATACATTTTATCATATACAAAATAAGATATGAGACAATTATTTTCCTTTTCAAAACTATGGTTCTTATGGTTTTGATTTGTGAACGTTGATGATGGCACCTTAATAGCTCGACATGGGACACACAAACCGTCAAAACATTAATTGCCTTGGGCCTAAAGGGGAAATATTTTAAGTGTAATTATTTATAAACATCGACGACCCAATATCTTCTCTTGGGTCTACGTGTAGCAAAAAAGGGTCACAAACCCACAGAACAAGCAAAATATCAAATTATAACTAAACAATCTGTTACTTTAAGCGCCTCTTTTGCTGTAACAGTTTGGAAGTAATTGTTAGTAATTTTATTTAAATTATTAAAAATATGTGTTTAATAAATTTATTTATTTTGAAATCATTATAAATTAAATATTTAGTAAAATTTTTTATTTAGAGATTTTAGACTAATAAATAACGGTTATAATTCAAATTGTTAACTGATTGAAAAAACTACTTAAAATAACTTTTTGTACCAAACCATTAGTGAGTTAGAATTTTTTAATTTTATTAACAAATTTATCATTTTTAATTTTTTTTTCATGATTTTTAATTAGTATTTATCTAATTAGCTTTAATTTTATTTTTTTCTTTTAATAATATTAAATAATTATTATATATTCTTTTACATTAATTTATTATACAAAAATATATTAGCTTAATAAATAAAATTTATTAATTAAGCGAAAAAATTAAAATTTTTTGTATTTTATTTAAAATTAATATAATTTTTTTATTAAAAATAAAAATTAGTGTCTGATTACACTATTATAATTTTTTTTTTTTGAACAGCAAATGTTATATTTATTGAAACAAAGATGGAGTACAAGGGGTACCCCAAACACATAAACATCTCCACTCGAAAGGAATAGATTTACATAGTCAAATGTCCCTTCCATTTGGTGTCGACACCAAAATTAAGTGTCAACATTATGTTTGTGTCGGGTTCTGGAAGCTCAGCCCTCGCATCTGTTGTCGACACCGAAATTATGTGTCGACACCACGTCCGTGTCGGATTCTGGATGCTTAGACCTCCGGTTTGGTGTCGACACCATTGGATTCTTCCTATTATTATTATTATTATAAAATTAATAATTTTAATAATAAAAAATATAAAAAAAACACTTAATTGTTTTTAAATATATTTTTATCAATCATTTAATTTCAAACAACAACAGTTAATTATTGTATAACTAAACAATTATACTAATTGAGTCTATTATCTATTATCTATTATTCACTTTTTGTTATCCACTACCCGTTATCCACTATCAGTTATCCGCTATCTACTATTCACTAACCACTACCTACTACCCATTATCCATTGAATCTTAATCATTATATCAAACATGCCCTAAGTGGGAGAAATTTAATATTTTTTAAATAAAATTTCAAAATTGAATTTTATTAATGAAAAGACATGTACTGAAAGAGTCACCCTCTTATAGGATCTAATCCGATTCAATTTCAATTTAATTAAAATTTAACATGACTTTCGGATACTAAAATGTTTAGTAAAAATAAAAGATAAAAAAAGAAATATTGAATTAGAAATTGTAATTTTTTTTATTTCGTAGAAATTGTAATAAAGAATGAATTAAATACTACGAAATTGCAATAAAGAATGAAATAAATTGTATTTTGGAATTCCTAAAACGAAAAAAAAATGGTAGTAATGATAAAAAGAGAAAAAAACAATCTATGTAGTTTTCGTTAGGGTACACTTAAGAGCTGCTTTGCCTGGACAATAATTGCTTTGCTGCTTGACAAGCTACCAACTAAAGAAAATCTAATTAGATGAGAGGTGCTGATAATGATCCAGAGGAACTTGAATCATGCTCTAGCATCATGTAAGAAAGTTTATCTACTTGGGATGCGGTTTTGCCTGGGGTGGGGGCTTTTACTTTGTTGGTCCGGCATATGCATCCATTTTCTTCTTCAGCTTGCTTTTGATATGCCATCAAAGGAAGGGTGGGAGAGAGTTGGTCACTCTCAGTGGTGGTCACTGCGTGGACCATATGGCTAGCAAGAAACGAGATCATCTTCGAAAAAGAGCAGTGGGATGAAGACAGAATTTTTGAACTCATCCAATTGAGGACTTTTATGAGGATTTAAGAAAAGACAAAAAGTAACTTTATGTGAAAATTAAACATATAAATTTTAATAAAAAACTTGCATCCAAACTAAAATCAGGTCTTGTCACACATGGACTTAACATTAATGTAGCCTGCTTAAAAATAATAATAATGTAACATGATCTAATATCATGTGAAATTGAGTATATATAGAAGTTTCAACACAAAAATTATATTTAATTTAAAATTAATTGAAAATAGAAAGAGTACGTTTCTTATATTTAAGATATACATTTCTTTTTTATATTTTGGATATAAGATTTCCTCGCTCAACGCTTTCAAGAATGCAAATTGATGCATATTTCCTAATTTGTGTGCAGAGGAGCTTTATCTCATGAATGAATCACTCTTTTTTGACTTCCAAGCTCAAACCTCCAACCTCCTAATCTCTTATTTGGGCTACCATCACACTATTAATAATCTTATTGTAAAGCAATGAAGTACTACTTGTACTCCTAATAAAGTGAAAATTTTTTGTTTGCTGATAAGAAAAAAAATCACTAGTAGCACTTAAAAGGCAAAACCCTTGTCAAAGCCCTCAAACTTATCTCAAATTCTCAATTAAACCTCAAAAGTTTTATTGATGCAAATAAGTCTTTATATTTGGCGATTTAAGTAATTCAACCCTTCTGCTTGCTACAAACTTTACACCTACTTGTGTCTTATTTGCATAGAGAATATCAATATCCATCATGTAGGCAATTACATGTCAATACTTTACCCATGCAAGTGATGTACAAATGGGTATTAAATACATTGTAAAAAAGTGAGTTAAATTACTCAGATTACCTAATTTAGGGGTTTATTTACTTCCACAAAACTTTAGGAGCTTAATTGAGAATCTGAGATAAGTTTGGAGGTTTAATGTAAGGTTTTGCCAACTTAAAACATTGTGTTGGAGGGATCAAGAACTAGTTTGACTGTATGAGTGCTAAATTTTTTTAGGGGTTTAAATGACATCTAATTTTTTCAGAGGAGCCTTACCATGGAAAACCAAAAGTATTTTTAGAGTTTTTTAAAATTTGGGGAGGATTATGGCCCCACCAGTCCACCGAAGATCCACCACTAAAAGCCCACTGTTACGTTACGACATAAAGCTAATTATTACCTTGAGGTTATGTTTTACAGCCAAATTGTCTTTTTGGTCTATAAACTACTGGGAAGTAACAGTTTAGTCCTTAACATTTTTAACCCATTTTTAGTTCTCAATGTTTCAATTATCTTATCTTCAAAAAATAATAATAATAAAAATAAAGGTTCTCAGCGTTTTAAATTGATCCGTAACACTCTAGTCCCCTAAGAGCTCCATCTATGGTACTGCTCCTTAGAAAGCACCATCAATCCGGTGTTTCTTACTTCCATTTAAAAGCTTTGACAATAGACATTGGATGTTTTCTTTGCTATACCTCAGACTTGTTCTTGTAGCTGTTTTTGCTACTTTGTAATCTTTCTCAGTCACATTTTAAAGAAAATATTGCATTGCTCAAAAAACGAAAAAAAGTTGACCATAAAAATTCTCAGAATAAGCATCTACAGCTATCGATGTCTATTTAATTACGCATACATCAGTTTGTATACGATAAGAAAACAAGTATGAAACTTTAGAAGGCAGCAGAGCCAACTGGAACACAAAATCTCAAAATCCCTGGCCTAAGTATCAACTGCATAGACTTCCAAATGCTTCCTTTGGTTCACTTTTCTGAATTCTCTCGTGGATGCAGTGCGACTGACCTGATTTAATCTGTACATGTTACCATTTTCTTTGTTGGAGTTTATAGCTCGTGTCTGAGAGGTTGGTAATGGTGGCCTGTTCCTACTGCTCTTACTAGGATCTTGGTTTCTTACCAGTACCCTTTGTTGGGAAGAAGTAAGTGGGGAGAGCAAAAGCGGAGAACTCTCGGTTCTGTTGAGTGGCTTTGAACCAGAGGAAGAGCTACTGTTACTGCTACCAGGCCCTCGGCCTTGCACATTGGGTTCAGCAGTCTTCTCAGGCTCCTGAAAACAATATAATTCTTCTACTAATTTAACACCTTCAACATGTTTGCTACCACATGATATAGGAACATTAAGAGTCAATCAGTTAATCACAGTTAAATTAAAGATGCTGTTGAGCAAGTCTAGCACCAAGATGGAAAATAGAATTTTAGGAAAAAATGTAACGAAATTGTTTGGCTGAACCATCAAATTGCTAATTCTTTACCTCCTCGGGAAATACAGTATTCTGTTGAGATAATCCAGCAGTAACTCCATCGTTTATACTGGGCTCACGACCTGTCCGAGACAGATGTCTCCTTTTAGAGTTCCACTTCCTTAAAAAAAAAAAAAAAAAAGAAAAAAAAGAAGGGGGTTGTGTGATAAGGGAGGAAATATTAGACAAATAAACAGACCCTTACATAGTTTGGCAACTGCAGTATTAAAAACAGAAAAACATAATATAATCACATCAAACTGTAATACAATTATCCAACAAACGTTTTTCATTATCAACAAAACTGAACATTCTATGCAATGTGGTGCGTCATATCAATGCTCGGTCATATTATAGAGTGGATTAGGATATTCTTATATTGAAGTTTCATAATTGTCACTTAGTTGTCGGAAGAAAATCAGTCCAAGAGTCACCATTTTGTTAAACCAGGATCAAATTCAAAACCAAACTACACAAAAAATTTCAGTATATAAGAGAATCTGCTCTATCGTATGTGTCTCTGTGAAGTACATTCTCAGTAAAATAAACGAGACAGATCTCAGGGTAGATGAGCTGAAGTGCTTGCTAGTTTGAAATGAAAAATCACTACTAGGGACCAGAAAGAAAAAAAATGATATAAAAAGGTATTCACATTCTAAGTAGTCATACGAGCTAAGCATAAACATTACTTTTCACAAATAATAATGAACATAATTTGCCTAAAAGCAATTACTGGTGATTCAGAAAGCTTACCTTCTTTCTATGTTGGGTTGAGTTGATTCATCATCCTGGTTATAAATAACAGGAAGATCTGAAAGGTCACATGCTTGTGGACTTGTGTAAAAGAACTGCAAGTGGAAGGTACTGTTATTAAGATTTGTAGGTAAGTCAATCATTTTACGATTGCATCATTGCAACATGAGTTCTGGAACTTCTAGTACTAGATACTCAAGTGTATGGCTTTTGATGGTTAAATCGAATACAAGAAGAGACAGATGACCAAACAACAAAATAACAAAAATCATCAAACTGTTTCAGACTCCATGGTGAATATGGCTTCAATAGAAAGTCACACAAAGCACCATTCTGCTGATGCTTATGAATGTGGCACTCTTGCTGAAAGAAGGAAGGGAAAATGTTGTTTAGCTAGAAAAATGCTTTAGAAGCCATTATACAAAATGACATGCAAGGATCCAAGGAGAAATGTCCCACACCTTCACTGAAAGAGGTTAAACCATCAAACAGGAAGAAAAGAAGAGAGAGCAAGGAATGCGTCTTCTTTGAAAACCAGACAGCAATCTATGAATTTGCAATCTCAAAATTCGTTTGATTTTAAAAATAAATAACACTTGCCATGGACTAGTTAAAGACTTGAAGTTGGGTTAACTACAAATCTAGTTAGTTGTCTCAATTGTACCAGATAAAGGAGTAGATGGGACCAAGAATTATATTATTATCATTAGAAACATTTAGATACAGTGAAACCTAGTGAATTGTGACAAAATCAGTCTCCATCAATACAAGAATCTGAAATTGAAAATCACAAAATATAAGTTGCATGTGGAGGAAAAAAGGATAAAGAAAGATTCCAGTTACAAATAAGATGCCTTTTCGCTTCTTTTGGTATTAAAATTGGCAGCACATAACATGTAGCACTATTGAAATTCATACTTACTTCATTTTGGAGGACTAAAGATGCACAGCCACGATATTCAGGATCTAGAGCAAGAAGAGTGGTCAAAAAGCCTAAAGCAGATTCAGGGAATTCCCTAAAAGATTCTACAAAACTAGGTTTGTACGATCGTGGAGGTCGGAAGGTTGAAGACAGCCTTAACTTTTTCCAATATTCCTCAGATGGTGTGCCACATAACTTGAATATCTTATGAAGTTGTTCAACCTGGATGCATGAAACTTCATCATTTCACAAGATAAGGGAAAGTAAACCCAACAACCAAAAAGTTAAAGAATGAAGAAATAAAAATATCAGAATGGCATAATGACCTCAGACTTAATGTAATACATCAATTCCACATGTAGGAGATGGTATGAGTACGAATAAAATATCAAAGACACCAACTAACAATAACAACTTGAGCTCAAGCTTTTTCATTCTATGAAGTTTACCTTTTTTAAGGCCTAAAAGGTTGCTAGGTTAATTTTCTAAAAGAATGCTTGGATTCAGTTTTGTGGGTGTTACAATAATTGTACCAACAGAAAAAATGAGAAATTGACAATTCACCACTAACGGTTTTTAGGACCCTATACCTCGTTTCTACCTGGCATGATTGGTCTCCCTGTAAACATCTCCGCCAAGAGGCAGCCAGCACTCCAAAGATCAATACCAACTCCATAATCTTTAGCTCCTAACAGCAGCTCAGGGGCTCTATACCAAAGTGTCACAACTCTGCTAGTAAGAGGATGCCTGTTCCTGGGAGAGTAAAAATTTGCAAGCCCAAAATCTGCAATCTTGAGCATCCCATTTTTATCAATTAGTAGGTTTGATCCTTTAATATCTCGATGCAAAATTCCTCTTTCATGGCAGTGCTGCAGACCTGAAAGCAGTTGAAGCATGTAACATTTTATCTGCATCAACAATTCAGATTAGTGACTTTGCAATGACGTTCTACAATTTCTGTAACCACTTAAAACACAAGAGAGTAAACAAGACCTGTGGTTCTGTAAGCCTTTCTTCTGGACGAGAAATAATTCTTGCCAGATCTGACTGCATAAAATCAAAAACAAGATAAATGCTATATTGCATTCTTGATGTGGCCAATCCTTCAAGCTTTACTATATTGGGATGGTTCAACTTCTGCAATATCATAATCTCTCGCGCCATAAATTGCACACTTTCAGGTTCTGACGTGTCAAAGCGGACCTTCTTCAAGGCAACTATCTTCCCAGTCTCCCTGTCTCTAGCTTTATATACATTGCTGTAGGTGCCCTGGCCTACCTATAACCAAAACAACTTAATTGGTTTCTTTCTCCCACTAGAACTTCACCACAATAAAAATTGTACTAGGAATTAAACTTCAGTTTTGGACTTTTAACTTTAATTGCTTGGATTTAAAATTTCTTTACCTTTGAGTCTTTAACTATGTGATACCATAAAGAAAGTGCAAATGAGAAAAAAGATCAATCAATCCTAGCAAAGAAAAGAAGACAATTGCATACAATTTTTCACTCTAATCTACCAAATGACAAAGAGATCAGGGTAGAGAAGCAACATTTAATTTAGAAATTACCTTGTCAATTTTATCATAAGACTCTGCACTCCTCGGAACCAAACCAGCTAAAACCTCTCTAGGGACATTATCTGTAAGCCATTTAGGCCACCCATCAACCACCTCATCCCAGCCATCCAGAAATCCATTTCCCTTCCCTTTCTCTCCCTCTCCACCCACCACCTTGCCTCTTCCTCCATGTCCACCACCACCATCAGCACTGCCAAACCCGTTCCGCTTGCCAGGCGGTTCAGCCACATACACCCGACCCGGCTCCCCTTCCGAATACCTCTGACCCGTAGACCTTCTATGACGCATAATCCCTCCTCTTCCCACATACCCATTTTCCATTTTCAGCTTCTCCAACCGCCCTGGTGGTGAATTCATACCAGATTTGGTTTGAACACACCCCATGGCTTCCAACTAGCGTAGCTTCTTCACCCTTGACGTATTGTTGAGTGTATAATGATGGGTATTAGACTATTAGCAAAGAGAGCGAGACAATTGGAGGAAAATGAAGAGAGAAAGAGATGGTAAGGAGAATAACCATCCCAAGCCGGCAGTTTTGGAATTTTGCTATGGTGGTTAAACAAAAAAGGACCTTTAAATCTCCATTGCTTTGGGTGTATGCCCTGCTTTCTCCGCTCAAACTGAAAACATGGAGACAGAAAAAGTTACAGAATTTTCACGTTTACTCATTAGTTGCATCATACTCATACTGTTCTGGCGGGAGAAATATCACCTCAATGGAGCACTAGAAAGTTGCTATTTTTTTGGGGGAAATTGCACTGTGGATGCATTCTACTCCAAATTACCAAAAAAAAAAGGATGCACTTGACCACTCCCACATTGTTTGAAAATGTGCATTTAACACATAAATCAGACAACTATGCAAGTTAACCCCCAAGTTTATTAATTATTGAAGATCAAATGTCAAAAACAATTGGGGTTATACTTTCCCTTAAGCTTTTCTAAATTTTACCTTTACAAAGTTATTTATGTATTTTCATATATTAATACTACAACAAAAGAAAAATAAAAGTGGTATTTTGAGCATTTATTTTTCTTATCACAATTCTCAACTTATAAAGTTTTCTTTTCAACTATATTAAAAAAAAATTTCTTATAATTTTCCTTATATTGGTCTATTTAACAACTTTTCCTACTAATTTGTCCAAAATCAATTTTTTATCAAATACAATAAAGTTAAAATTTCTTATAATTTTCCTTATATTGGTCTATTTAACAACTTTTCCTACTAATTTGTCCAAAATCAATTTTTTATCAAATACAATAAAGTTCATAACTCAACAAAATTCTAACAAAATTCTAACAAAACTTTATTATAAACTTAGCAACTTTCCATAAAACATTTTCATAATCACTTTTTCAATAAAATTTTTTTAATAAAATAACTCTCTAAGTAAACAAGCCTTTAAGATTAAATGCACATTACTATAGAGAATCAAGAGCACATTTTCATAATTTAAGGGGTTGAGCGTATATATTAAATCATGTGAAGTTAAATAAACATTTTTATAAATTGGGGGAGCAAATAGGAAAAGTGCAATTTGGCCATTTTAGAAAATGACGAATTTTTCCAGGCTGGAAACTGAAATATTCTTTTTTTATTTATGGTTTGGAAACTGAAATATTCAACCTCATATCTAATTATCGTTAACGATGAGCATATATTCATTAATTTCATAACATATTATTATTGTAAAATTTCATTGTTAAATAAGATTATACATATATAAAATCCTTTTTTATGCAACTCTTGTTGTATGTGTGGAGTCTAAAACATCCGATTATCATCTTAGGACAGTCTTTCAAATAAATCAAATCTTGATGCACATAAGACTCATATGTATTTTAATTACCCTATTTAATCTTGATTTAAGATTGAGTTTAATAGTTCGAACCTGTGCATTACTTAAATAGATATGTCGCAAAATACCAAAAAATAGATATATTAAGCGGAATGTAACTTTATTGAAGAGAAAATATTTAATGGTCGGTATAGGAATTATCTGTGTTAAAACATTCTTGTTGTTTGACAACTAGGATGGGCAGGCGCACAGCTTTGTAATAGTTAAAAGTAATTTTTTTGGAACCAATAATATGCCGCATGTGTCCAGCATGATTACGATTTTGGGAGCCTAGGCTATTATTGCCAGTATATCCTCTGGTCATTCTGTGCTGGCACAGACACTACTTGTTGCATTATCTGTCCTTTCTCGTATATAACTTTTCAAGGGAAGTATGTAGTGTACTTTCACATGTATTTTTCAAGAGAAGAAAAGCACTTGTTTCTATCAGCATGTGTAGTTAGCAGTTTCATCCACCATTAGAAGATGTTGTTTTTAGAAATTGCTGTTACGGGTTTAATCAACTAAATTAACTAAACTTTAATTAACTAAACTATGTTTACACGATTAAAGTCGGCACTTTCTGAGGAAATTAACCATAAGGGGTTACAATCCAAGAAGGTAATCTTAACAGCAAAGCCTTCACTTTAGTTAACTAAATATTTGACAACAGTTTTTGTAGAAAACCCCTAACCAAATTTCTCTTAACCAACTAGAGCCTAACCTAGTTGGTTTCTACAAATGGTTGCATAGACATTACCAAGAAATAAGAAATATCATATACATGAAACGTAAATTCTTTAACTCCATGGTAACAGACTTGTTTGAATACTGGTAAAATACAAGTCATGTATCATTCGACTCTTAAGCAAGCAATGCATGTAAAGTAGATATGAGCTAAAAACAGAGCTTACACCACACATAAGGCCAAAATCAAACAATTGTATTTCTGATCACTTGAGTAAACGGTGAGCATATGCTCGTTGTGATGACTTGATTGTGAATAATACACAAATTACTAAGAAGTTACTGATGAAACATTAGATATAAGTACAGGAATTACAGAAACCAAAAAAGTATGGAGGGTGTTGAGGTACAAGCAGAAGAATCATTCCAAATCTACTATTCCGAAATTTGAGAGCATGATCTTTACTTGGTCGACCAAGTCAGAGCCTGTTGCATACTCTGTTAGCAACCCAACAGCAAAACCAAACATTGCCCATCTAAAACAACCAATTTACAGAGTTAGAAAGGGCACCAGAATAAGATGCATATAACAATCTGAAAGAGTTTGACTATACAAATGTTCATGTAGCCAATCTCAAGTAACTAGGAATGGTGTTTTCCTACAAGTTTAAGGTAATAGACAGCCAACAATAAACTTGGGTCTTCCAAATACTCGAAAAGTATGTCATAACAGATTTATCCCCTTCAGCGTATAGGAAAAGAAACACAAAAACATCAAAAGGTAAAAAAGTTGACAAGGATCTGTTCGAGGTGAGAATATTGGTCATGTTAACTATCCAATTGAAAGATCTTGAGAGACATTTAATAGGAACTTCAAAGGCATTGTAGTTCATGATAACTAAAAGAGAAGGCTTGACTCAAAATAGATAAAACAAGAAGAAAAGGACAGGCACCTCAACTATAAGCAATCCAATTTCAACACTAGGAAATGAGGAAACAGCTTCTAAGATTTAAGAACTAATAAATTTGATCAACTCAAGACAGACAAACATAATGCTAAGATCTATGTATAACTAATATAATAACATATTCAAACCCATTTTTCTTGCCAAACAAACCTTAGAACCATATATAAAGCACTTCAAGGCCTTGAATTGAACTTCTCAAAAAATAAAAAGAAAGATAGACCGCACTGATATATCCAATAAGCCAAAAATTGAATACAATGTCCTTGTTGATTATTCAAAACCAGAATTCGCTTGCAGGAATTCCAGGCACAATTTGGGATGAAAAACTTTAGGATAACCCTAATTTTCATCATATATCAATCAAAATGTTCAATTCCCTCTAAAATTCCAAGATTCCTATAAAACCCAGAAATGAAAGAAATCCATATAATCAGAAAATGCACCACAAAACTACTCAATTCTTAAAGAAAGAAAAACAAAAGATACCCTATTCCATTACCTCCCATTAGCAATCTCATTCTTGCCAATGAACCCAAAGAAAGGCCCTTGATTTGATTCCTCAAGCTTCTTCTGTTTAAAATACTCCTGGAGCTCCCTGGCCTTCTGCCTCTGAAACTCCAGAGTAATCACATTCTCGTCCTTCCCTACAGCCAGAGAGGCCGGCTTCGGAGGAGCCGGCGAAGGAGAAGTAGGCGGTAATGGAGAAGGAGGAACTGGCTTCAAAGTAGGCGGTGGAGAAGGTTCTCTAAGAGGCGGCGCCACCGGTCTCCTGAGTGGACCTTCCGTCTGAGAACTCCGTATAGTAACAATATAAGGCTTAATTGATGGTAATGATGATGAAGAAGAACAGGGGGAAGATGGGTTTGGGATTTTGATCCGTGGAATTGACGATGCAATGGACATTTTCTGCGTTCCCGATCGAAGATGAAATCTTTTGTTGGGGTTCGTTTCTGTGATGGGTAGGAGTAGAAAGATGGCGACCAAGTCTGGATAAGGTGTAGCCAGTTGAACGCAAGTCCATGGGACAGAAATGGTTGGTTGATTTCTCGCCAACAGTTGCGAAGCGTGTGTGCAACATTTGCCGTTGGTTATGGCCTTTCTTTGACCTATTTAATTTTGATTTTTCCCATTTCATCAATTTTATTGTAGAAAATGCATTTCAAGTTTTTCCCCTAAAAAATTTGTAAGTTTTTTTTTTTTAACATTAAAAAAAATTTGTAAGTTAAAGTCACGATTTAACTGAGTTTTGATTTTCTTTTCTTTGAAAACCCAAAATCTCTTCATTCAAAGAAATATTACATGTGCTTCAATCATATATTCTAATGGTATAGTTATTTGTCTTCTTAATTGATCCTTGATTTCTACATGAAAAATAATAATAATAGTAATACAAGCACATTATGCAATCGTCTCTCACTACTTGGAGAAGTGATGAGTAAGTGGTAAACATGAATAATTCAGCTGTAAAAATATAACACAATAATTACGACAAAATAATGGACAGGAGTCATGCAATGCAACAAGAATAAATATAAGTAAAATGAGGCTCGGGATTGACAAAATTGAAATCTCAATATAGACACAAATGCTCAATCCAACCGAAGGTGGATGAGAGAGATGGTTGCTGGTCGTGTGCTGGTTGTGATGAGCACTCAAAAACTTGCTTCTCTTTTGCCGAGAAATCAGATGACCACCTTGAGAGCAGAGGAGCTCTGTTGGCAGTAATTTACCTAATGGTATTTGGTCCTTGAATCCAAAATGAAGGCCAAATTACATAATTCTACATGAACAAGTTCTTTCATTTCCATGATCGAATTCATCATCTGATCCGCCAGTTTCACTGAAAATGGTTAAAGTTTCTGTATCAGCAACTTAATCAGAAGAATTATAATTTTCCAGAAGCACATAACTGAAACAAGGAGAAGAGATGAGTAGGAGAATTTAAAGAAACAAAAAAGAACAATGCATCTTCACCATCTGAAAACAAACACCAAAACTGTGGCACCAGTGCAAGACAAGATAAAAAAATGGAACAAATTTGAGAAGGTGCTGCTTAAATAGTCAAAGCTGCTCTAGAATTAGACGAAGTTATGTCATTACACATAGGAGAAGGAATAGCAATAATAACTAATACTACTCGATGATAAACATATCCATGTATTATGGAACAAGAATAATGCGTTGAGCATTAGCAGAGAATGTATCTTCTGATCAGAATAAAAAACTACATATAATTCTCACATAAATGGCAGATTGATAGTAAAAATAACACTGGTCCTAATATTCTAAGCTTCTATAATTCTACAAGCTGCTTATTAGGTCTCTCTCCCTTACAACCATCAACGCCCTGCATGGGGATAGGTATTTCAAATTATGTCCAAGACTGCTAGGGCTACTTTTATCCAATTCAGTATCAATACAAAAAACCTGACAACAAGTACTCAGAGTTTAAATTAACATTAACACTAATAAGAAAAATGTCGTTTTTCTATCCACAAAAAAAAAAAAAACAAATAAAAACCAATCCCAAACTTATTCCATGTAATTTTAATCTTCTACAAAGTAAAGCTCTTAATCGTGGTAAATACTCACCATCTAGAAGAAAATTGGAGAAAAATAAGACTAACAACCTGTTTTGACTTCCAACTTAAGTGGCAACGAGATGGACTGAATTCTTAATATTGTCATTGTCACTACCCACCAACAATGCAAATGGACAAGAAAATCAAAATCATAGTATGGCATAAGTAAACTAAAACAGCTCAACCATCCAAAGATTTGTGCAAAGCACCATTCAATAATGCCAATTAGTTTCTAAGAAGCAAGAGATTTTGATTTCAAGCAGTTTGCTAGACATGTATATCACTTAAGCTCATAATGTGAGAATCAATAATAAAAGAAAAGAAAAATGTAAACCAGAACAAAAGCATGCACTAACTTGAAACATATATGAGAACCATATTTTGCGCATCATTTTAAATTTTGGAATCAAAGTTTCCATACCTGGGTTCAAATTCCCTGATTTCAACAAGCTCATTACCACAAACATCAGTCCACTGCACTTTCCTTCGTTCAGCATGACCAGCTATACCACTATCTTTTTCTCCCAATGCCTCACATTGATCAACATCCCTAGCAGGTGCTGGGGTGCTATTCGACACAACGGTTGCCGGGATATTATTTGATGCTTTCTTCAAGCTACTCTTCAGAGAAACATTTCTTGCATTACCATTACTATCATTTAGATCAGTTGAATGATCCTTGCTGTGCTCAGAAACAAGAGGTCCCTGTAAGACATCCTGCTGTTGTGTAGGGCCTACTTTCAGAGGAGATGGGCTATCAAGTCCTGCAGAAGCGCGACCAAAGCAGACGAAGGAGGCGCACCCGCGGGAAAGCCGGTTCTTAATGGAAGCCAGCTGGAGGTCAGGATCTGGTTCTTGCTCCACCAACCGGTAATGGTTCCACGGCGCAACTCTCATGGGCCTATCTTCGTTCTTCTGACCCAAAAGAAGAAGGGCCAGGCCCTTGCTATACCCAGATGCTGAAGAAGAGAAGAATCCTCCTCCTTCTACTGCTATTAACATCAGTTCTTCTCATCTGGGCACCCAAAAAACAATTTCTTTACAGCTCCCCTCCCCTTAGTTGAACTAAAACATCAAGACCTTCAACCCATATCTCAAAGTCAGACAATATATCATATTTCAAAAGCATCAAATTTAATTAAAAACTAAAATGACAATGACAACAACAATAATAAATGAAAATCCTTACCCTCTATATATGGTAATTAAAAAAAGTTCAAACCTAAAAATCTTATTATTATTATTTTTTGGGGGCCAATAAACTATAGAATCTGATTAATCCATCAAAAAATGCCACACCAAGTCCACTTATTAGTTATCACTCTGTCAAGAATCTGAGGTACCAAGTAGCAACAATTAAGAAACGCCAACACATCACCATCACAAAATATTTTACCATATATAATAAAGATCTGAAAAATCATAGAAATACATTTCTGCTAATCCCAAATTAGAGTATGAAATAAAAAAGTGAATAAAAAAAAAAAAGAATAAGATTTTCTGAACCAAACCCCTACCTAATCAATGAACTTGTTAATAAAAAGAATGATCAGAGAAATAAATAAACTTCGAATGATCAGAGAACTTGAAAGGGAAAATCAGCAAAAATTTCCGTTTCTAATACTTACTAATTCTATCCCTAATTACGAATCAACATGCAAAGGCAGAACACTTGTTTCGAGATCTGAATACTTTAAAGCAAGGATTGCTCGTTAACAAGTTATATATCGAAGCAATGCTCTGTTTGGTTGAAAAGAAAACACTAACAAGTAAGAGGAACAGTTGACAGAAATAGTTCAGAAGAGTATTTCTTTTCTTAGTAATTTCTCGGGAACCAAACAGGAAAACGGATCGAATTACCTGATAGTGATCCCTCGGATCTGGAGAGAGAGAGAAAAAAAAAAAACCCGGCAACTAAAGAGGCGGCGCCGGCATGTTGGAATTGGATCGCGGAGAATGCAAGAGTTAATCGGCGAGTAATTGCCGAAGAAACAAGATGGAAAAAACGATAAATATGATAAACAGAAAAATAGGAAGGGAAAATAAAAAGACTACGCGCTCTGGCCGGAATTATTTAAAGTGAAGGGATTGGGATAAGGACATCCACTGGCGCATGATAGTGATGGGTCGTCAATTTTTATCTTCTTTTTTATTTTTATTTGGCTAATTTAATTTTTAGTCTATTAACTATCACCTTGATTTCATTTTAGTTTAGAAAGTATGTTTTATTTCTAAGTGGTCTATTAACTTTCAGATTCATTTCAATTTCGTCTACTTAGTAAAAAATAACGGAAAACTTCCTATTCTGTTTAGAGAATTAGTTAGTCCTTTGACTATATTTTTTTTATCTTTTAGTCTTTAAATTTATCTTTGTTATAAAAATATTTTTTTAATTAAAATTATTATTTATAGGTTCTGATACTAGATTTTTATACGAGTTTTCTTATTTTTTTAATTTGATATT